ATTAAACCAACACTTCACTAAAGTCTTTCCTCATCATGAAGCAAACAGATTTCTCCATCAACACAAAAACTCTTGCAAGGAATAGGTGTAGGACAATTTGAACAAAGTCTTAGGCCATGCTAGGTCCTTGTATGACCAGTTTCAAGATGAAGTGAGCTACAAGTTTCATTGGAGAGAAGCACTGCCTGATGACAGAGGAGTGTAAACTCAGATTGCATTAAGATGCTTGGCTTTATTGCTTCTTAGGAAATTCTTCTTCAAGTGAGGCTACTGGTAGTTTTGGCACTGAAGCTGAGCACCAACAACAACTGGACGGGAGAGAAAAGCCAGGTGTGCTTAGACTGCTTAACCTTCGACACAGTTGTGTCAACAAGATGCTCAACTATTTAAAATATTTTCACTACTGCCAAAATAAGGATGGCATGTGCCTATTCTCAAGTGGCAACTCTTCATAACAAGATACATTATTCATGGCATTTTTCAGGAGCGTCATAGAAACCATGTCATGTCGTTTACCGATTAAGAAAGTCTGTGGTCATGTTCTGTCCAATTTCTGCCGAAAGCGTTTGAGTCTGCTAGGCTGACCTTTTTAACGTTGTCGGTTTAAGTTGATATAGGCGTTAATATCCATACCTTATGAAAGTATTCAAGTACTTCTAATAAAAATGGGGGCGGTCGGGTAGCCTAGTGGTTAAAGCGTTCGCTCGTCACGCCGAAGACCCGGGTTCGAATCCCGACATGGGTACAATGTGTGAAGCCCATTTCTGGTGTCCCCCGCCGTGATATTGCTGGAATATTGCTAAAAGCGGCGTAAAACCAAACTCACTCACTCACTCACTTTAATAAAAATGTAATTCTGAGCAGAACCATTCAATATATCACTAAAATGATTGACGTTATATTTACTAAAGAAAAATGAAAATAAAATTACCAGATTATGAACAGATATATTCATATCAGCAAGGTCATGTGTTTTTGTTTTTGTTTCTCTTTAATGCCAGATATGAAAATGTCTACCATTCTGGGATAATTCTTGTGAGAATATAGAATCCCACTGACCCTCGTCTTCCCGAGGCAAGCGTGTCCACTAACTTAGATCAAAGGCCACATCAAGGGCACTTTTCTTGGTTCGACCCTGTGCCACCTTGTGTAGATCACAAGTTGTGCCCCTTGTATTGAAAACACGATGTCCAATCAGATCGCAGTTCTTATCACGTATAGCTTCGCCAAGATTGAGACTACCATTGGCAATCACCTAGCTGATTAGATAATGAAAACATTTGCTATTTCATCCCTGACACAAAAACACAGGCAATCATTTGGGGTTTTAAAAGATGAAAAAGACATATTTGTGTCAACAAAGACAGGCAATGGTAAATCTCTTTCATACGAATGTGTACAGTTGTGGATGTTGGTCGTTGATTTTGTGAAACCTTCTCTAATTGGACTATCAATATGTGTGCTGGTCCAATCATATTTAACACAGGGAAGTGGGCTTGATGTGGCAAGGGTGGCAACAAGACTTTGATAGAAAAGGCAAGTGGACGCTCTTCCTTCGGGAAGAAGATTGCCCTTGACTCAAATCTATCCCAGGGAAACATTTCCAGAAGTTGTCATCCCTTCTCTGTAGTGGTTTGGTAGCCTCGTAGTTAAAGCATTCGCACATCACACCTAAAGCCTGGGTTTGATTCCCTACATAGGTAAAATTTTAAAGCTGATTTGTGGTTTCCCCTACAATGATGGTGCTGGAATATTGCTAAAATGGTCTTAAACTAAACTCACTGTCCTGTAGATGCTCATAATTATTTCTGAGATAACGTTCTTCTGAAATTCCATACAGACTTGCATTCCACAGATTGTATTCATAGTTGTACAATAATTCCAGATTTTATTTTACACTCCAGAGGAGGAACAGCTTCAAAAGCAAATAACACCCACTACTGAAGGAACAAGAACAAAAATGTAAACTATTCTCTTGAAGTATTTGCTGTGTGTCTCCATAATGAGACAGCATTTCTACATTAGCCCTCCACCTATACTTGTTGAGATTGTGTCAGAAAACAGAACAGTTACATGTCAGACTCTTGTGAAGGAAATTAAGGTCAAACAGGCTCGATGACCAAGCTCCTAACTCAAGTGTTTCTCAAGAAGGATATATCGAAGCAGAAGAGGGCTGATTTTAGAGTTATCAGCTGGCTCGAGACTCTTCTTCTCCACTTCTGCACATCGTCCTTAGATTGAATTGGTTCTTGTAAAGGATTCTTTGATGCTTAGATTTAGCTGTTGGCATGAAATTGTTATAATGGCATATTTTATTAATTTCTATTTTACTTTTGTTTACAATTTGATGGTGTTTGATAAGGTTTTCTATGGTTAACCAAGCAACCAACTTTTTACTTGATGATGGTCAAATAGTATTAGGTAAAGGTTTGTACAGGTGCAGTAAGATTATCACTTGGTATGATGGGTAAAGGTCGGTACAGGTGTACTAAGATTATCACTTGGTGTGATGGGTAAAGGTTGGTACAGGTGTACTAAGATTATCACTTGGTATGATGGGTAAAGGTTGGTACAGGTGAAATAAGATTATCACTCGGCATGATGGGTAAAGGTTGTACAGGTGTACTAAGATTATCACTTGGTATGATGGGTAAAGGTTGGTACAGGTGTACTAAGATTATCACTTGGTATGATGGGTAAAGGTTGGTACAGGTGAAATAAGATTATCACTCGGCATGATGGGTAAAGGTTGTACAGGTGTACTAAGATTATCACTTGGTATGATAGGTAAAGGTTGTACAGGTGAACTAAGATTATAACTTGGTATGATGGGTGAAAATAAGATTAACATTTGTTTTTCAGAATATCATCTGTTATGACAGTAATTTAAACTGGCAGCTATGATTGTGTATCAACGTACCCAAACAGTGCGGAATGTTGCTCATAATATCAGTCACTGGATTGCCTCGTCCAGACTTGATTATTTACAGGCTGCTGTCATGATGCTGGAATTCTGCTGAGTGTGCCATTAGGAAACAGACACAGACTTTTGTTTAACTGAATATTTTTTGTAGAAAAGTTGGTTCACATTTGATGACCTATTTATCATAGCATTAACCAGCTAGACATAAGACCACACCAAATCTGACATCAACAAGACACAGTGTGTTATATTAGCTGGTTAAAATCCCATCACACAACCTTTGATATTCAGCCAGCAAGACCTATGGCCTTAAATAAGGAAGATAAGATTATTTGTTCAATGAACTATGCATGATGTATTTGATGTTACTCGTAGATGTATAGCCTTAAACCTTTCCAAGCAGCTAATCACTCAAACTTCCCAGAAAATATCGAAACATACGGTTTACAACCATTTAAGGCTGACATCTAAGCCAAGATTAAGAGAACATCATCGTCTGGCGGAGATCATATGATGTCACAATGACACATCAATGGTTGTTAATGATGTAGTTTAGTTCTTCTTTGATCCTTGTGCTCTTCTTTTTTTTCTCTTTTTTAACACAGGATGTAAACGTATTCTTCCATTTCTGTACAAGATGACATAATGTTTGGTAAGTAGGGAATGATCACTGCCAGTTTAAATTACTTTCATGACAGACAATATCCTGGAAAACAAATCTTATTTTTTCCCATCATACCAAGTGCTAATCTTACTAGAACTGTACTAACCTTTACACCTCCTCCGTGGTCTAATGGTAGAGCGTCCGCCGGGAGAGCGGAAGGTCCGGGTTCGATCCCCGACCGCGTCATACCAAAAGACAATAAAAGATGGTATTTGTTGTTACCCTGTCTGGCGCTCGGCATTAAGGGGCATACTGTGTCTGAGTGGGGTATTCATGTTAAACTGCGGCATGGTATCTCAGTGAGCTAGCACTATAAATCGGCATCAGTCTGGACTAGTACAAGCAGCCACACACACACACATACATGTGCATGCACGTCGCTATATAAGTGCAATAATCTTGGAAGCGACGTTAAACACCATTTCACCTCACCTACTAACCTTTACCCATCATACCAGACCCCTGAAGATCCGGGGTAGAATAGGTCTTTAGCAACCCATGCTTGCCGTAAAAGGTGACAATGCTTGTTGGTAGAGGCGACGAAAGGGATCAGGTGGTCAGGCTCGCTGACTTGGTTGAAGCATGTCATTGATACCATCGATCGATGCTCATGATGTCAATCACTGGATTGTCTGGTCCAGACACGATTATTTACAGACTGCCATCATATAGCTGGAATATTGCTGTGTGCAGCGTAAAACAAACCAAACCATCATACCAAGTGATAATCTTAGTACAACTGTGGGGGCATGGGTGGCTCAGTTGTCTATGGCGCCGCGATTCACTGTGCAGAGTTGCATCCCTTGGGCATGCCAGAATTCTATGATTGTGGGTTCGAAACCCGGTTCACCCCAATTATGTTTCTAGGTTCGTCAGCACCATACCCATGCTCGTGGGTAAATGTTTAAGACCTGCATCACTTCGGGCTTGCCTCCTACATTAAGCTGACAATTCGTGATATAACTGCAATGCTGTTAAAAGCGGCATTAAACCCAACTCAATCACTCACTCTCTACTACATCTGTACTATGTTTTAGTGGTTAATATCTTTGACCTGAGGTTGTGACTCTTGGTATTCCTCCCACTCTAAGTGATGATACAGAAATACTGGTTGCAACAGCATTAAACCCAACCCACTCACTCACCCACTCCAACACATCAAGTTATGGTCCAGCCCTTGAAGCATTAAAACACTCATTTACTTTTCGTAACATGCCTGACAACACATTCCATTATCTTAAGCATGCCATCTCATAAAAAAGGTATTACTATCCTAAACCCGCATCTATTGCCCCACCATCATGCTAGTCCGTCTTCCACTTCTGTGATTATGAATATTGTACAGTGCCCATGTCTGTGACATACAAGCAAAAACCATTACCATAAACTTATATTTTGTTCACTTGATTTCAGTATAACAGTGTGGGCTGGTGTCAGCTGTCAGATCTAAGGGACGGCAGCCTCTCCCTCGTCATTAGAAACTCATCTTGAAGCTGCTTAACTATCGGTTGCAGCTTTTCTGGCACGTCATTAAAGATCTACAAAGCAATCCAAGTAGGCGATACAATATATACATTTTTTTAAGTCAGTCACTTTGCCAAGGAAATGGCCGTGTTTAAAGGGTTTGAAATGCTGTGTTTTGCTCTATCTGTGTCAGCGTACACAACTTTGGAAGTCACTCCAGCCGAAGGAGTCTCTTCACTAGTCCAATTCTTGACCACTTGGACGCAGTCATGTTGGCAATTTCTATGATTAGGACTAATTTTATTGCCTCTAGCAAGTAATTGCTTTGAACCAATTTTCTAGCATACCTATCGTTTCTACATTTAAAGGACTTCCGTCTAACGTCAGTGCGGAGGTATATCAATTAGGAGGTACAAACACAACAACTTGATGACCAGCTCTATACAGAGGATCATTCCACAGGATGTTCGGATGACAGCCCTGAGTTGTCATTGTCTTCAGTAGTTCCTTTGTTCCTTGCTAGGGTCCCTCATTGTCAGTGAGGACGGAGTTTGAAGGGTTTGTGTGCTAGTTTGTGGTCTCGGAGGAACGTAGTCAGGTGATCCTGGACTGGGAAATGGAAAAAAAAATGAAAAAAGGAATAAAATGTCTTATACGATTTATTGCTTCCAAGCCAATAACAAATCACTGTTGGGTTTTAAGAAACATTTTTTAGATTTTGTAGTCACTTGAAGTCTTGCTTTGTATTGTATGGTGTTTAAAGTATGAAAAATACAAGGATTTTGAAGTTGTTATGAAGAGAAATAAGTGTTGTTATTTTTGTGTGTGTGTTTGTTTGTTGTTCAGAACATAACAATACTGTTTTTTGTAGATAGAAATTATCTAAAATACGAGGAATAATGATTCTATGGTAATGCTTCTATTCACACTATTAAATAGTGAAGGTATCTATGTTAAAGACATTTATATTAATAATTTTTTTGAATGCATACACTTCGACCTAAAAAAATAACCTTTCATTAAATAATGTGATTTGTCATGAATGCAATGGGCCATTTAATTTAATTTAAATCTTCTTCTTTTTTAAATTTAGCTGGAGTCAAAGAGTATAATTTACATTTTCATGGTTTGTATTGGAATCAGTTGCAGTGATGAAGAGATTTTGAATTTGAAAATAATAACTTAAAAGTTTTGACCCTTACAAATCAATTTTAAGTTTATTATATGAAGGATAGTAGTTTAAAGTTTTATTTCTCTTCAGTGAAAAAAGGTTCAAAAAGTCACTGGAGGTGAATTTTGATCCTGCACTGTACAGTCTGTGAAGACTATGTGTCTATGAGCAGTGATGTGTGTCAGATGACATCATCCAGGTTTTATTGAAACGTGGAACTTGACAGCTTACACGAAGGCTTACACGCACAGAGTGAAGGCTCTTGGCTTCAGCTGCAAGGTTGTTGATGTAAATGTAGATGTCATCAACTTCTTCATGATAGTGGGGGCACGGGTGGCCCAGTCGTCTGAGGCGCCGCGGTTCGCTGTGCAGAGTTGCGTCCCTATGATTGTGGGTTCGAATCCCAGTTCGCCCTGATTATGTTTCTAGGTTTGTCAGCATCATACCATGCTCGTGGGTTTCACCGAAGTGGTAAACGTCTGAGACCTTCATCACTTGGGGCTTTCCTCCCACATTAAGCTGACACGCTGTGATATAACTGGAATACTGTTAAAAGCGGCGTTAGTCCAACTCACTCACTCTTCATGATAGTCTCAGGGACTCCACAATCTTTTACCAATTTCCAGTATTATGTACCATATATGTTGAAATTTCTGTATTTCTGGTCATTGTTGACTTTTAGAAGAAGAATTCGCGATTATAGATCGTTTAGCAGATGTGTTTACCACGATCAGCTGTTCATTTCATTGACATGAGGGAAATGACAATCTGTCGTTATCAGATTTCTAGGTCAGGCCACAAAGTTAAAAAAAATTCAAAGGAGCCGCTTGGCTCCCAAATGCTTTTTTCAAGGAGCCAAATAGAATTTCAAGGAGCCAAGACAAAATGTAAGGAGCCAAAAGTAATGACTTGTAATTTAACCGAGCTTCTGCATAACAAAACACAAAAAAAACCATTAGTTTGAATAATCAGTTTTATATCATGAACAACAACTGTTGTTGAAGCTTTTGAGTTTTTCAGACAATAATTACTTTTAATATTGTTTCAATTAATTTCGGCGAAATCGTGTGTGAAGCGATCCGAAGATCGCACAACTAACGGTTATTAACAGAAACCACGGTCAGATTACCGCTATTGACGCCTTGAAACGAACTTTAGTTGACAGAGAATGGATACATATGTCATAAATGCCATACTTTGACTCGTTAAAAGTCATATTTGTTTTTGATGGACGATTCTATGTCAACACGTAATTCTCGCGATCACGGGTGAGCCTTGACGGTGACTGGTCAGACTGTGTGTTCCATGTAAAACCATGTAATACCCAGTAATAGCAATCAGCTGCTTCACTTAGGGTTACTATTATTTCAAATATGTTTAGAAAAAGCTGCATCTAAATTAACAAGATATTGGAATATATTATTCCTGATAAAAAAATAGTTTCAGATATAATTTTTGCCGATCCTTGCATTAAAACCCTGTAAAGTTATATTATTGGGTGTGTCTTGACTGAATCACCGGTAAATTCCAAGAAAATGTGTGTACAGCTGATTGCTGTGTCCGGCTTAGTTTACGAGAAGATACACATGGTAATCTTAATCCCTGGATATAAAACAATGCCTAGCAGAACAAAAAAATACAATTTAAACGGTAAATCAACATGTCTGGTGATTTTTTATCTCACATTTCGAATTTGTACTGACCAAGTTTCTCATCACCCGTTCGTTTGCCGGACTTCGCTAAAGGGGTAGATATATCTACGGTGTAAGTTTTTTTTTGCGCTTGGTAGATCTATTCAAATTTTTTTCAGGGGTGGAAATTTAAAAAAAAAACTTCACTTGCCATCGGACAAGTTTAAAGACAATTTTCACTTGCCCAAATAATTTCAAAATAAAACTTCAAATCAATAGATCTATGTGTTTATCTCTTTCAACACCGTAGGCCGGTTTTCCGGCCAAGCCGTAGTCACGTCAAAATAGTATATATATTTATGGACCTACCTATAATATCATTCATTTATTAAATCTATCACATTTCACAATGTCTGAAATATGTATTCCACATCAATTTATCATTTTTTATCGATAAATTAAAAAATTATTCACTATTTCCTGCGATGTTATTGAAAATATAATTCTCGGACACACATTTCGACAACGGGTCCACATCGAACATGTGAAAGAGCAAAATAAAGACGTTTTAAACAAATCTTTAAATACATTATACAAAGTAATAAATAAAATCAACAAAAATATATCTAAACGTAATCAAACTTACATCTAAGTTATTATTTCCATCTTTTCGTGCGATCGCGTGTAATGTAAGTCAAATGACATCTCGGCTTTCGTCGCCTTAATTTGGCTTAAATTCTCAGCTCGGACAAGATGTTTAATGCAGAAATATATGCATGAAAAATCTATGTCACAGCTCATAACCTAGCACGATACATTCACGAAGTTCCATATTTTTAATATATATCGTGATTTCCTGCCTTTTAGTTCAGATTAACACAATTTAACAATAATCTTTCGCCAACTTCTGAAATTGATCAAACACGAGCTTGGTATCACCGCTGTAATTTGATTGGCTGCCTGAAGTCATGTGCTCAAAATTGACCAATCACGAAACTTGTAGCAGATTTCGGCAAGAAAGCGTCATTAGAAACCAATTTTAATCTAATGAAATCGCTTGTTATAACTACGGAAAAAAACAAGGCGATGTTACGAAAGCGCGGTTACGAAATTTCTCTCAGCCAATTTATTGTACCAATTTTAAAAGTAGTTAGACTTGTAGACAGTGATAGTAATTTCCAATATTACTTGCCTCCGGACAAGTTAAAGTAAGTGATTTTGTTGCCCCACCTTGTATTTCTACTTGCCCCGGGAGTCGGGAAATGGCAAATTTTCACCCGTTTTTCCAAAAAAAATACTGAATCCGCTAGAGAGGGGTGCGCACTATACTAAAGAAAATACGGTATTCATCATTTGCCGATTGAAAACGATTTGTTGTTGTTTTGACTTGCGCAAATATGGAAAAATACTTCGTGTTTTTGAACGGCGAATCGACCGCCACAGCTGTCACCTGGGCGGATGTCGTACAGCGCATGCGTGGGGACTAAACTCTTAACATCGTTAGTGCATTACTTAATAACGGAAAGTGCTTCCTTCATTCCAGGTATGGAGCTTCATATCGAAAGCGAAAACAGAACACATGGCCCAGCAGTGATCTAATCGATGTTATTATGTTCTGATATCGATTTTTTTCACTGAAGTTACCGCACTTATATTAAAAACGATCTTTTTTAATATCTTATGACAATAGATATTTAGTCGCCAAACTTAATTAAAGACAAGGAGCCAGTTGGCGACTGACATGAAAATACCAGTCGCAAAATACAAAACTAGATCGCCATGGCGACCAATTTAGTCGCAACTTTGTGGCCTGTAGGTCTTCGACAATGTGAGTTTAGATAGGAATTGAGTATTTTCAAAGTGATCAGACATGAAATAATGACAGTTTGAAATGGTTGTACAGTCTGCTGGCCAAAAATAAGAAAGAAAAAAAGATATTATGTACATTCAAAAATGATATTTTATAAACATGGTGCTTTCGTCAATTGCACTGTCTATTTCTGCCTGTATTGTGTACCATATCGAAAGAAATACTGTTAATTGTCATTTAATTAGAAGTGACATTTCATCATATGTTCGGGGTGGCCGGGTAGCCTAGTGGTTAAAGCGTTCACTTATCATGCTGAAGACCCGGGTTTGATTCCCGACATGGGTACAATGTGTGAAGCCCATTTCTGGTGTCCCCCGCCGTGATATTGCTGGAATGTTGCTAAAAGTGATGTAAAGCCAAACTCACTCATGTTGTTGATGTTTTTTAAAAGGTCAGTGTCACCAGAATGTAAGTCAAT